GCCCTGGTAGCGTCCACCTTAAGAGGGGAGAGGCTCAGGGAGCCACTGAGCATGTGCCCTGGCCATGGCCAGTGATCCGAACCCAAGCCTGCGGGCCTCCACTGCCCAGGTCCTCACCACCCCTGTTCCAGCTGCCTTCCCTGACTGCCCCTCCTCTTTCTGACCAACGAGGCCACTGAGCAGACCTGCTGGGTGTCCACCGCCTGTTCAGGCCAGGGCCCCGCAGTGATGGGCTTCTCGGAGGCCAGCAGGAGGCTTGCGTGCCCCACTGTGGGAGGAGCCTGGTACTGGCCGCCGCTTGGTGGCTCCTTTCTGTGCTGTGGGTCTTTCCTGGGCACAGTGATAGTAACGACAGCGCCCCCTATGGGGCTGCCAGGAGGAAGGGCTAATGGGCCGGGCACACAGCACACAGCAGCGGTTCTCAAAGTTTTGGCCCAGGGACCCCCAGGGGTCCCGGAGCTCTTTTCAAGGCACCTGCAAAGTTGCAACTACTTTTATACGAATACAAAGGGGTGATTCGCCGTTCTCGTCCTCACCCTCTCCCCAGTGAACTGAGGGGGTTTTCAGAGGCCACGTCCCTGTGCAGCTGGACCGCAGGAGCAGATGTGAGAAGGCAGCTCCATTCTACAAGCTGCAGGCGTCACAACAAGGCCGGCCTCTCACTGAGACTCATTCTCTTGGCTTATTTGGTTTGGTTTTGGAAAACACAGCTCTTCCTCATCAGGGACGCCATCTGAGTTCACAGTGATGGCTGCAACACTGGGATTTCAAAACGAATCAATAATTCAGACATCTCCCAGGCTTCGCTTTTAAGATGGCAGACACTGAGAGGTCTAACCTGTGACTCCTGGGGACGGAGACCCGGCAGACCTGCTGCTGTGGGGACGGCAGTGGCCTCACTGCCCCGTGCAGGCAGTGACTTCCTCTCTACGTGAGCCGCTGCTCTACCTAGAGAGGTGCCTGGCACACAGCAGGTGCCTAATCAATGTCTAACGCGTACATAAATGGATACGTGGAGGGGGGTAGGATTTCATCATCAGTTGCCTTGTGTCTTTAATACTGGGGGGGAGGGTAACTGTGCAGGGAGTGGTAGGAGTCAGGGGACCCAGGTGCAAATCCAGGCACTTGCTCCCTGGGCAACTCGGTGTCCCTCCCCACCCCAAGCCTCGGCTTCCCTTCAGCCCCAGGCAGGCGTCGCTCCTGGCACAGAAAGGCTGCAGCCATCACACCTTGGAAGACGAGGCAGTGCCATGCCTGCCTTCAGTCAGACCGCGTCAAGCCACGGCTTGTGGAGCTAGCTGCCCAGCTGGGAGCAGGGCTAAGGGCCCCCTGGCTTCAGAGGGAGACACTGGCTACCGTGTGTCCCTGGGCAGGTGCGTCGCCTTCTGTGCCTCGGCATCCCCACTGGCAAGACAGGGCACTGCAACAGCACCGACCTGCTAAGGCTGCTGGGAACAGCCTGGGAGGGCTCACTCCAGAGGCGGGACAGGAAGTGCTCAGTGAGCGGCATCACTATCCTGTGCAGTCATCTCTACCTGTGGGCCTTGGTTTTCCCATCCAGAGCATAGGTGCCAGGGTCCTAAGAAGTCGCCAGCGTGCTGGTTATTTACCTGCCGCCTCTGGGCCTTGCCTCTTCCCACTGGGCCCCACACCCTGACGGACAGCAGCCGCTGCCAATCATTTCGGCCTCGGTACTTCCTTTCTGCTCTCCCGGCCCCTCCCATGCATTTGCAACAAACCCCTGCGTTCAAGTCCCTCTGTGTGAAGCACCGTGCAGGGAGCCGCCACCTGGCCGCGGGGCCTCACCTGCAGCTTCTTGAGCTGGCTGTTGACGGTGGCCAGGTCCCCTCCGGGGTCCACGTCCTGCAGCTGGCTCTCCATGTGAAGCAGCTTCTTGTCCAGCTCTGCGAAGCTCTGCACCAGCTGGTCGGCCTTGCTGGCCTCGAACAGCTGGCGGGCCTTGGCCTGCGTGGTGCTCTCCAGCTCCGCCCAGCACTGCCGGATCTCGCCCAGCTTCTTCCGCACCGAGGCCGCCAGCTCCGGCTTCTCCTGCATCAGCTGCTGGCCCTCCTGGCCCAGGCAGGTGGGGAACAGGAGAGGAGAGTCAGGGGCAGGCGGTGGGGGCGACGGACACACACAGGGGAAGAGAGTTGGGAGAGGCACAGCCGGAGATAGGCCCAGAGGTGGGAGAGACAAGAAGGAAGAGAAGACAGCGGCGTGGGGAAGGGGACGGAGGGGAGGAGAGTGACAGACACGGAGGGGACACACAGTCAGAAGCAGGGGCGTGCACCATGCAGATGACGTGAGAGGGGGCCGAGGCAGAAGAAAGCGAGGGAGACTGAACTTCCATTCACTCCGAGTTGGGACGGCTGCCTTTGCCACGCGCCACCGGTTAACCTGGGTTTCTCTGTGGGAATCGGAAGAGTGGGGGCATCTCGGGCTGCAAGCCTGGGGGCTCAGCCAGGGGAGGTCGGGGAAGTTCTGAGCCCCCTCCGAGACGGAAGTCAAGCTCCGCGGTGGGCCAGACCGACACATATTGGATTACATATCACAAACAAGCCCGCAGGCACCACAGCGCCAGGCACTGTCGGTGCACAAGAGCCCAAGGAAGCAGTTCCGGTTCCAGGGGCTGACACGGTTCCCCAAGGCTCCACGGCTGGGCAGTGAGCACCCAGGGCTATGAGAATCCAAAGGTGACTTTAACCCTGGGTTTCCCAGGGCTTCTCCGGCTACTCCCCATGACCTTCTATCTTAAATGCCCCAAATGGCAAGGGAGGAAGCTATGGGAAGATAGGAAATACTTAACAGGGGGCTATGAGCACCATTCAAGGAGATGCTGGCCATTTTACAGACGGGCAAGCTGAGGCTCAAAGAGGTGACACGAGTCACTCAAAGCCATGCAGCTGGGAGGCGCTGTGGAGCTGATGTGGACTGCTCCAGGGTGTGAGCCCAGCAGCACGGCAGCCGCAGGCGGGCCTGCGCCCCCCGCATCCTCACCCTCTCGATCTTCTCCAGCCACTCCTTATTCTGAGCCAGCTCGGCCATGAACGCCTGGTGCCGGAGCCATCTCTTGTGCAGCTTGTGGCTGTCTTCCCGTGTGCCGTCGCGCGCCATCAGCATCTTCTCATGGATCCACCCATCCAGCTGTGCAGGGCACAGAAGGGCTCAGCCCGCCCCCCCCCCCCAACGTGATACAACCCTGGCCCTCCTGGGAAGTCCCATGGGCAGGGGCTGGGCTGCCAGGGTGGGAGGGTGTGGGGAGGCAGGAGGGATGGAGAAAGCTTAGCAGGGGAGGCCCGTGTGTTGGAGGCTGCAGCGCAAGCTCTTTCCTGGGCACAGGATGGACAGAAGGGCCCCAAACGCCCAAGCCCTTGGCCCTTCTGTCCTGAGGACAGGAACCCTCCCAGGCAGGGATCCTAGGTCAGCTTCCTCCCACCCCAGGCCATATTAGCCCTTAAAACAAGCCCCACACCCCAATTCAGCCAACCCCCAATTCAGCCCTGGCAACACCTATACCTCTTTTTTTTGGATTTTTATTTATTTATTTGACAGGTAGAGTTACAGACAGTGAGAGAGAGAGAGAGAGAGAGAGGGAGAGAAAGGTCTTCCTTTTCCATTGGTTCACTCCCCAAATGGCTGCCACAGCCAGAACTATGCCGATCCGAAGCCAGGAGCCAGGCGCTTCCTCCTGGTCTCCCATGGGGGTGCAGGCACCCAAGCACTTGGGCCATCCTCCACTGCCCTCCCGGGCCACAGCAGAGAGCTCGACTGGAAGAGGAGCAGCTGGGACTAGAACCCGGCGCCCATATGGGATGCTGGCGCCACAGGCTGAGGATTAACCCAGTGAGCCATGGAGCCAGCCCCACCTATACCGCTTAATTCAGGTTTAGCCTCCCTGCTCCCTGCCCTGGTTAAGAACCAAGATTCTCTGCCCATCCCCCAGGGCAGAAAATGAAGCCCCCGACCTAGCACCAGCCCCCTCCAATATGGCCAAATCAACACCCCAAACAACTTTCTGACCGGAGTCAGGTCTAGCTCCCTCCAAAGCAGCTCTCCACAGTGGAGCGGACCCAGCCCCACAGCTGAGAACCAGTACCCTCATGAGCACACGGGGCTCCCCAAACCCAGCCCTGGGGTTCTGCAGCCACAGTTCCCCAGACCACGGTCAGTTCTAATCCCTAACCAAAGCCAATCCCATGAACATGGGCAACAAGGACACCTTCTAGGTCCCTAAACCAGTCCTCCCCAGAATACAACATGGATTAGATTAAATCTCCCAAGGGGCTGGTGTTGTGGCATAGCTGGTTAAGACACAGCCTGCGACGCCAGCATCCTGCGTGGGCCCTGCTTGAAGACCTGGCTACTCCACTTTCAATCCAGCTCCCTCCTAATGCACCTGAGAAAGCAGCAGAAGATGGCCCAAGTGCTTGGGTCCCTGTACCCACGTAGTAGACCTGGATGAAGCTCTGGGCTCCTGGCTTCAGCCTGACAAAGCCCCGGCTGTTGTGGCCATTTGGGGAGTGAACCACTGGATGGAAGATCTGTGTGTGTGTGTGTGTGTGTGCGTGTGTCCTTCTCTGTGCAACTCTGCCTTTCAAGTAAATAAAAACTAAATCTCAAAAAAAAAAAACCTCCAAGCCAGTCCCTCCCCCCCTCCACCCATTCAAGCCAAGTCTAGCCACTCCGCCCCAAGAAAAAGCCACCACAACCAGACATCCAAAAGGCAGGCCCCAAGAGTGGCTCCTCACAGCCCCAGGCAGCACCAATCACAAGGCTGATTCTTGAGCTCACGACCCTCCCCAACCCCTACCCCCGGAAAAGCAAGAGTTATCTCCCAAGCCACAAGCCTCTTGATCTTGACCAAACCCAGCACCTGGGAGAGTTAGCTCCTCCCCCTCTCCTCCCCCCTCCAGTCACAAGATCCTTCTCCCTCCTGCAGGGGGAAAAAAAAAAGAAAAACAAACCAAAAAACACCGGACTCCGGCTCAGCGGTCCTGGGAGACCAGTGCCGCCACAGCCAAGGACAAACCCCAGCGGGTCGAACCCCACCCAGGTCCTCTGCGCGTGCTCCCCGGGGGGCCAGAGCGCCTTCCCACTCCCGCCCTCGCACACGCACACTAGAGCCGCGCCGGTGCTGAGCCCCCCGACTCAATTCGCAGGTCCCCGACGGGAAGCGAAGAGCCCAATGGCAACGCAGCCCACGGTGCAGACGGGGGTCCCCGTCCTCAAGGTAAAGCCCCCACCAGAAAAACAAGAAAAGCCCCCAAAAGTCCAAGTCCTCACTCCTAGAACCTATCCAAGACCTTCATCGCCCAAGGCGAAGCCCCCCCAAAAGTGTTTCACCCCCACCATCATCAGCTGACACGGAGTCTGCAAAAACCAAGGACGAAACCCCCTAAAGGTGGAGAATCCGCCAACTCCAGGGCAATCTCGGGTCCCACGATACCCAAAGAGCCCTCTAGGAAAGCTGAGACCCCGTCACCCCCAGGGCAAACCCCGACTACAGCAGGATGGCCCTGGATGTGCCCCCTAGCCGCTCCCCGCCACTGGGCGCGGCCCCTCAGTCCGGCCCGCACCAGCACCGCGGACAGCTCCCTGCGTCCTTGCCCCTCCCCCAGGCCGGGGGTCCCGGCCCGCCCCCGCCCCTCCCTCCCACGGCCCCGGCGGCGAGCACGCGTTCGAGCCCCCTCCCCCGCCAACTAGACGGGGTACAGCATCAGATTTTTACTACTCTGGTGTTTTCCTCTTCTCGAAGAATACATTAAGGCCGTTTGGGGCGTTGGTCGTATTGGGTTTGGAACGTTCTGTGGAGATCGTTTAGGCTGCAGAGGGAATGACTAGATTTACTCATCTGTATTAACCAATATCTCTACAGATACATGTTGCTCTGTACGTGAAATACTTTTTTCTTCTACTATGTTAGGCCCCATATAACTGCTGATATAGCCGCGAAACGACAAACGAACGATGACACGAATGTTCTACAATTAGGAGCCCCAAGTGAAGAGCGGGATGTATCCAGACGGAGGTAGAAGTGCAGTAAGCGCGAATGGCATAATGGTTACGTAGCAAAGATTGCTGAAGCAATTTTGGGCCGGCACATAAGAGTAGCTCGAACGACAGGTAGCATTACTGAGGGCAGCTACATCGTTCCCATTGCCCCTAGGAATGAAGTTAGTAAGTTCAGATGGGGTTTG